GATGTTCATTTTCGGAGGTGGAACTTTCAAGAGCCGAAACTCTGCCGGATTGAAGAGTGAACTCGGAGCTTTGAAGACTTGAAGACTTGCACGTACAGATCTGATCCTCGGCGAGCACCTACGTCAGAAAAGGCAGGAATTCGAGAGGAAACAAAGAACAGATCTGAGATCTACACGATATCACACTCCGGATCTAAGCTTGGTCTTAGATCCCGAGATCCGAGCGATTATTCCCTTGGTGGACTAATCCCTCCCGGCTATTATTCCCTTCGTGGAATAATACCCGTATAATCGTGTAGATCCGACCGGATCTAGATCGTGCGGTGGTCCACGGATTAACCCCGGCGTCGGCAAAGAACCCACAAAAGCGAGAGACCGCAAAACAGGATCTCGCGATTCGTTCGACAAATAAGGAAAGTTGTAATTTTTTTTTCTGATTTAATTGTAACCGGATCTAAAAAAGACCGGATCTTTTGTAACCCAAGATGACAATTATCTCAATGAAGAAGAAAACCATTTTCCCCGCGAACAAATGTATCCATTGCAATAACGACTAGTTTTTAGATTATATCTTTTGTGGGTTTTGCCTTGTTTTTTGTGTTTTCCTCTGGTTTGGGCTGATATGTTGAGAGACTATATATAGTCCTCAACACTTATATTTTGAAATAGGAGTTTAAAACAAGTTTTGTAATTTTTTCTTAAAAGTTTTAAGAAAAATCAAATGAATGTTTATGTGAAGATAGTTTCACAAAGAGGCGAATCGAAATTTCATTTTTAAGGCACTTTACCTCAAATCATCATCTACAACTCTTTGTTTACATCGAGAACATTTCTAAAACATATATATCTAGCTTGTTTATATTTTAATTGTCATATAATATTTTCTAGATTAATTCGAGTTTGTTTTCATTTTTACTCGTTGATTTCACACATAACCAATTTGAGCTTAAGTATTTTTCACATATTATATATTTGGGTTGTGGTGAGTGATTCTTTGAGAGTGAGCTTAAATTTCATTCTCATTTGTATTAGAGAACAAATCTAGTAATTTGCACTTGTATTGAGAGAACACGTTGTAATACACAAGGATATTTAGAGGAGTGGTTGGTGAGTGACCGGGGTTAAATCCAAGAGGAGCGAGTTGATAGCAAAGCCTAGGGAGATGTTGTAAATCCAAGCGCTTGAGGAAGGTAACAGGGTAAGACCAACACTTAGAGGAGTGTATTGTGAGATTGACAACGTGTGATTGTTAACATTTTTGGTGAGCTAAAAAATCAATTGTGTAGCTATTTGAGTATAGCAGAGATTCTCCTCAAGGGTAAGGAGCAAAGACGTAGGTCGTGTGTCGACCGAACTCCGTGATCATTTGATTGTATTTGAGTTTGGCATTGACGTTCTTTTTCTTGTGCTTACCTTATATCATCTTTTTGTCTTACAGTTTATATCGCCCATTGTTTACTTATTTATCCTTGCATAAATCTCTTTTTATATCTCATTTGCTAGGATATTAGTTAATTAGTTTTTAATTTGGCATTGAATTGGATTAGATTAGAAAATACTTTATTCACCCCCTGTCTAGGGTAATTTCAATATCTTCATAGTTTGTATGTGAATTTTCATATGACTTTCTATCATATTTCATGTGTTTTGAAGTTATATGCGAATTTATCATGGTGTTTGCTACAAATTTTATTTTGTGAACCAGTACGTATTTCTCTTCCTTACACATTTAGATAATTCTTATTTAGATTTTAAGGTATATTGTATATCCTTGGTGTGTGTTTCTTTTAATAACAATAAAAAATGGAGAAAAATGGAAATTTTAAAAAAAATTTGAGTTTTATTTAGAGATTTTACAAGTGAATTTTTACGAGTTCTTACAAGTAGTTTCAAAGTGATAAGTGATCTCAAAGGTCAAAATTTTTTTTTTTTGGGGGGGGGGGGTTTATAG